ACCCAAAAATAAGTAATACAGTTATATAAACTTATTATTGTATAATTAAGTTAATTTATAATGTATATAAAATTAATCATTTATTAGTTATAAATATAATATAAATACAGTATATCAGATATCTTTTTTTTAAAAAAACAAGTATAAAATCCTTAAAGAGTTTTTTTATAAAGTTATTTTCCACAAAGAACCTAAAGATATTTTGCTGAACATTGATATGAAAAAAAAGACATTTGTATGATATGCAAAAGTGTTATTGATCCAAGTTTTAAAGACTCAGTTACAATTTTAAGCTGTAAACATTTTTATCATAAAGAATGCATTAGTGATATATGTCTACTTTATCAAGAACAAACTAATAGAATTAAAAATGTATTGATTCATCATCAAGAAAGTAGCTGTTTTATTAACTCATTATTGAATTTAGAATGTGCTAATATTTTTACTTCACTTACTGAATTTACCAAACCTACATTTACTGAATCCATTGAACCTACTAAACCTACATTTATAAATCCACTAAACCCACATTTACTAAATCTGCTGAACCTACATTTACTAAATCCACTGAATTAACCAAACTTATTGAATCTATCAAATCTACAGAATCTAACAGTATGCTTGTTAAATTTACTGAACTTACTACCTCTTTTATATCAGTTAAATATACTGAATTTATTGCTTCTGTAGATTTTACAGATTTCACTTCTGCACCTATTGAGTCAATTGAATATGCTGAAGCATTCAAGTTTACTAAATCTAAAACAACCAAATCAAAAGCAATATCTTAAAAAACACAAATAATTCAGTTATTAAAAGAACTAAACACATCTGTTAGGAAGGAATGCAAAAATAATAGCAGTAACAACAATAATATTAATATTAATAACAATAATAATAACAGTAATAATATACTACTATTAATTCAACTTTATACAAATATAATTCATACTAAAAGTGATGCAACTAAGGCAAATCAAATGGTAATTAGAAGTTGGTATGAATTTGCAAATGAGCTTGATAAACAGATTAATCAAACATTAAGGAATCAAAAAAAATCTAAATATAGAAGTTCTAAAAAATCAGCAACATTTGAAGTATATGATAAACTTTTAAACCATTTTACTGATATGACCCATGTTGCTTTAAGAAAAAGGGTAGAAAAGGTAAATAAGGTTTATACCTTATTTAAGGGAATAGGTATTAATAAAATTGAAAGAGTTAGTACTTTTAGTGCTGACAAAATTTCAGAATTTAATATATCACAAATCGAATATATTATTAATAATATAACTATGTAATTTTGATTTGATTAATTGCAAAATGTCTAGTAATTAATTGCTTATATAAATTTGTTATATTTTGGTAAAGTTAATTTTAATTTTAAACTTTTAGATTTTTATATAATAAATTTTAAAACCTAATTCTTAATATTTTTTATAACATAAAAAATAAAATAATATTAATAAAAAGTTAATTTATATAGAACTAATAGATTATATATATAGTGCTGGATGCTTATAATAGTGATAGGCTATATATAGAGATTAGACCTGATTTTATAATTCAGGTTTATTATGTGAATTTTGTAATCTTTTGGAAATTTGTCTAATTAAATTTTAATAAATTCCAAAATATCACAAAATTTATATGATAAATCTAAATTATTAAAACCAAATTCAACCTCTAGCTATACATATAGGACTAGTAATGCTAGTCTAAAAATTTTACTATTATATAATCCCATTAAAAAAAATTTTGCTAAAAAACATTTACTCTTAGATTAGGTCACTAGTGAGTTAGTTGGGTTTAAAGAACTATAGTTATACTAAAATTTTGTAAAAAAAACATTTTTTATTAGTATGCAAAAGGCAGTTGCATAGGCAAAATATTGAGTTATAGGCAATTTTTGACTTATTTTTGTTTTTCACATTATACCTAATCTTGAAATCTGATTGGCTAGAGAAATTTTTTAGACTGGTATTTTAAATACTGTTGACCATGTACAGAATTTTTTAATATGAGATTATTTGGCCTGTATTAGCATTAGTGCTCTAATCAGATTGACTCAAATAACTTGAAACCAATCTGGTTATAATAAATTTATTAGATGGATCATGATCTATATAGTAAATTTATTATAACTGAGTTAGTTTTGGGTCATTTGAGTCAATCCGATTGGAGCACTAGATGAAAGAATTAATTTTATAAATATTACTATTTATAGTTTTATTTTATAGTACATGGGTATAAAGAATATTTATTAATCTAAATATTTAATATGTAAGCATAAAGAACATTTATTTAA